AGTGTGGCGTCATCAATACTTAAGCTTATTGCTTGCGGAGGTATAGGCTGTGAGCTTGCTTCATGGGCATCTAATGCATATTTAGTGCTTGTCATTTGCATATTATACACTAGTTTATATAGTGCTGTCATTTTTTAGAGTCCACAAAAAAATGCTGAAATACGAAGAAGTGTGGTTTTAATCAGGTCATGGAAAGTACAGTAGATTGTATACAAGTACATGTGTAACATGGTGTGAGGATGCAGAGGCAGTTTGAACTTCCCGTGTTGTTGGAAGTCGATAAACCACGGCAGATGTGGCTCCCGAGGTAAATCTGCAGGAACTATATCCAAATGGACTGTCCACCCAAAATAAATGCAAAATAGGTTTATGTTATAACACCTCAGACATTTTCAGTCGCCTACTAAAATTTCAGGTGGTACGGAAAGGCAGCGCGTACATGTGCCTCCATCTGTTGACGTATATCGCATATAGTGTGCTTGAAACTTGGCTAGTGAAGGTGATGCCCACATGTGCATACTTCATCCAATTTCACTGAACTCTTACCAGGAAACAGTTCAGTGTACTATCTAGTGGAGGGGGGAGAGTTCCTTGCCCCCTTTTTTTTCAAATTTGTAGATTTGTAGGTTTTTTTCAACCATTAAAAAGTGCCCATATTTTTGAAAAGGCACTAGCACTTTTTTGGGGGGGGGGTAAAAAAAAAATAGAAATATCATGAAGAAAACATTTTAGTCTGCCACTCCCCGACCCGAGATCTTGCTATGCTGCTGTCAAGTCCATAATACATTTCTGTGATGTGCCATGACCGAGTTGCTACAGTGCCTCACATGCATGTATCCAGGACTGCTCCTTGGGCCAGACAGATGTATTAAAACTGGATGCCAGTGCGCACCCCACAGTGGTACCCTTGCACCTGTCGAACAAGTGTGATACAACTGCAGTAATCTCTTTCCACTTGCCACTTAAAGCGACCATTACATGTAGTTCCACAAAATGAAAAGATGTCTGGCCAAAGCGGGCTGTGTGTGGTCCCAGAGGCTGAGTTCAGGCGGCTTGTTCTCGTATGTTCAGCTTGATTTGTTGTTTGTGGGTCTGCTGCTCGAATGCCTGGAACGTACAACCGGTTATTATCGGGAGTACTGCAATCAACATGCCACATGGCAGCGTCCTTGTGCATTCCTCGAGAGTTTTAATGTTGGGTAACTGGGCTAACTTCTTTTTCCTTCGACAAAAGTTCATTTCTGTCATGGAAAATTATTCATGTTAATTTTGCAAAACTTCCCATTGTCTATGGCTTTGGAAGCCATCTCTCTACTTTTTGCAGCTGTTCAAAAATAAAAATCTCACGAGTTTTTCAGTGTGTTCCTGTAAAACCCTGACGAGGAGGTGGTGTGTGATCCTGTTCCAAGAACAGTGTTCTTGAGTCATGTTCCCGCCGTTCGAGCGCGAGAACAAGAAACCCGTGTCAAGAACAGGCCGCCGCGAACTCAACCAGAGTGTCTGCTGATTTTGACAACTCTCGATAAGAAACCTTGACGTTTACAAAACCCTCAGCATGGAAACCTGCACATTTTCAATGACATGCTCCTCATATATTGTAGCATGTGGCATGTGTACATGTATGCCAAGCATTAATCCACGGTCAACTTCAGAAAAGGTGAAATTGTCTCACCTTTTTTTCTTTTTAACTGGTTGATGTTTTGCATAAGAATGATCCCTTTGATTGAACATGGATTGTATAAAGGATATGCACGGTCTTGCAGTATGTTGTCGTATTTGTGGTTGTAATTAGTGCATTTGAATATTCACACCTTTGAAGGCTGATGACTTGCTCGCATACTGTTACGTTTGCTTTGAATATTCATGTTAATGGTATACACACGCACTCAACCAGGCCAAGAGGTCACCAATTATGACAAGATCCAAAACACGAGCACTGGCACTTGCAAAGTCCCAGCAGGCTCGGGAGAACTTACGTAGGTCACCCCGAGCACGGAGAACCGGAAAGAATCAATCCAAAGATCGCAAAAAAGGTAGTACACACTTCTGGCATGAAACAGGCATGCTGATTGGCGGGCAGAGAAATCCAGAGAAACCGGACGTGGAGCTTCGTATGTGGCTGAAGAATTTTCCTTTTGCTTTTTATTTGCACCAATGGCTGGTTTTTGTATTTTTTGTACATGGATACCTTTGCACATTTGCATATGGTTAAACTTATGTTTATTCAAAGCAAGTATCAGTATTGAAATAAAGCATGCTTTTAGGTTTGCCGATTGACATATTTTGGCAGATTCAAACTGTACAGCTCAGTTGTTATAACGTTACGTAGGGATTAACTTGATGTTTTTCAAGTGCATGACACAAACCTAAATGAAGTTTGTTCTCAGGATTGCATTTTAACTGGCTTTGAGCAAATTAGCTGTTAAGCAGAACGAAATCCACATTATAGATCATATGCCATGATCTAAAAGAAGTTAGGCAACAATTCATCCTGAGAGGGCAAGAGTTTTGTATCACTGGGATTGCATTCATTCTAACTAAAATGAATTAAAATGAAAACAGCCTCTGAGATACCATTAGCTTTTTAGAAGCATGCCACACACAATGGGAAGGCGCTGTTTGGTTTGGGTAAAATCTTTTGTATTTGTCCCAAATTTACCCACTTCAAATAGCTCCCTCTCGTTGTGTCTGCCATGCATCTAAAAGGCTAATGAAGATGCCAGCAATGCACCTTTATTGTGAGCGGAGGTTTCTGCAAGATCATTTGGGAAATGTAGGCGAGGTCCTCTGAAGTACTGTAAAAGGCAGTGTGTGGTGAGTGACATTCGAGTTGTGACTGGTCAGGGGCCACGGTGGATAAAGCAAAATACCGGACCATGATACCAGATTACCTTATCACCGTGCAAAGGTGGATAGTGGGGAGGGCAGTGGGGGCCATGCCTTCACCTTTCCCCCCGAAAGGAGGCAAAAAGATTTTCTCATAATTTTGTCTTTGGATTATGAGAAGAAATTTTGTACGAAAGGTACTGGATGTTGAATATGTCCATTTGCTAGAAATATATACATTCTGTGCTCGGCGGCAGAACGATATTCAAAGGGGAAGGGGACAGGTGTTAGACCATCAGGCATCAGTCATTAATAGGCCGATCCATTATATTAAGCCCTGTCCTAATAAAGGACCTGCAAGGGGAGAGGGGGGGAGCATGCCCCAGTCAAAAATTGGCCCCCCCTAGTTTATGTTCCTTGCAAATTGGTGCAGTGTGAGCTACATATCACCCATTTTCTTCTAATTTAAAGAACTAAGTCAACCCTACTGTGGTATTTCAGCTTGATAACTCCTATTTTATCTTCCAGTAACAAACTCAGTAAAGGACATGCCTTTAACAGCCCCACACAACTTGATATACCACAGGTGTACTTTGTAGCTTGCTGTGGCAATGAAACCGTGATGTTTAAAATGTGGTAATTAAAAATATGAATGAAGAAAAGGACTGTCAGGCATGACGGTCATCAAAGATGTGTTGCAGCATTCCTGGTGACAAAAACATTCTGCCATTGCTTCTAAATGGCCAACATGCATCACTGGTTTTGAAATCTTGGTTTTTGAAATGTTGGCCGGGCTTTTAAATGCTCAAAGCCACAAATGAAACGTCTACCTTTTGGTGGTCTTCTACACGGCACGATGAGGGCGTTAAACATGTCCCAGCCAAGCAGTGCATTTTAAGATCACGGGAATGCTGTTGTTTTGGGACCAAACGACAGCCAAAGGTTGCCACCAGTTGAACCTGTCTTCAAAGATAGACAGAAAGAATGCAGACATGCACAAATAATAAAATTGGATTGACCCTAGGAATAGAACATTCAGTCTGTCATCTCATGAAATTGAAACAAGTCATATAGGGAAACTGACTACGTGTAGGTGCTTATGAAGGGTTATAAAAATGAACAAAGAAATTGACTGGAGTGGGATTTGAACCTGCAGCCTCTGGTTCAAATCCCACTCCAGTCAATTTCTTTATTTCATCTTTATAATCATTCATAAGCACCGAGTCAGTTTCCCTACATGATTTGCTTCATGATATATGTTCAAAAAGCGGTATCCTCTGTGAGTGATCCCTGTTCACCAGTTCCCAGGTTGTATCGTGTTATTGGGGTACGATCCCTGGCTACAGGGTGTTTCAGGTTTAATGGCTTATGGCTAACACCCTCCGAACAAAGATATTGACAAATGGGAAGAGCCACCAACATAGGGCTGGATAGCTCAGTTGGTAGAGCACTGGTACGGTACTCCAGAGGCCGCAGGTTCAAATCCCACTCCAGTCAATTTCTTTGTTCTTTTTTTATAATCATTCATGTAATCATCTCATGAAATGGTTAGTACATGTACACTGCACTCATTTCTAAGGTTTCATTATTTATATATTGTCCCAGAATGTACATTTGCAATGCTTGTGCGTTATTTATTGTATGATATAACCCAATTTGACTCCTGTGTTGACATGAAGGAGTCAGAACCTGGTCAGCTCAGATACCATGTCCCTGAGTGCCAATTTTTGAGAGTCAAAGTTTTTGTTTCTGTCGGCAGTGCGTATTTGTTGATCAGAATTTGGTTTGAACTTGAGTGTATGCAGTGACTTCGTTGGACAAATATCTGACCTGCATGGCTTACATGTACATGTATGTACAGAATGGATCTGCACTGCATATGCGTTAAATGACCTTCATGTTGATGCGGATCAGAACGTGACATCTTTGACCTCGGAACAGTGAAGTGTCCGTTTTATGTGCATCTTTGCTACGGGATGTTGGACAAGATGTTTCATTGTATATTCGCTGCACTGTACTTAAACATTGCCTCACAGCATTTTTCAGTAATCAACTTTTGGCTAACTTCATCTCATCAAGAACATGAGGTCAGAGGTCAGGTTTACCTTACACTTTTTCGAAGGGGTGACTGATCTTTATTTCTTTTCTTTATTGTGTGTTTGTGGAACTTACAGTTTCAATTAGCCCAGGGTGGTATAGGAAGTGGTACACCTCCAATGATACCGACAGTGAGGGCAGAGCCAGCAACGGACATCCAGACGCAAGCCCTTCAACAACACCTACAGAGGTACTGTCCTACCCCAAACCAACCATCCACCTGTTAGAACCCTTTAAGGGCTTATAATGAGGGTTTATAATATTCTTACAACTTTCTTTTTTTTTTTTGGTATTCGTACTGAAAAATGTTATTTTTTTTTCCATCTGACATGTAGATTACACCTCCAGAGACAATGCGACAGCCCACCTATGCTGAAAAAGCTTCACAGTCCTACTAGCCGAGCTAGCCCCCCTACCTCCATCAGCCTCCCAGTCCATCCTGAGGAGGTCCTTGAACCGTCCACTGATCCCACCGTCTACCCGTCACACCCCATGCCCACTGACATCAGTCCCACACTCGACACCCAGCCAGATGGCAGGCCCAGCAATGTGGGGAGCTCCTCGCAGCGGGGCAGCCCACTGAGCCAGGCCGGGGCGGCAGGGGGTGGTCCCCTGTCATCCCAGCGGGCCAGTCCACACACCCAGTCCGGGGATAACTGGTTCGGTGGGGTCAGGCCAGGCTTTTCTCCCTCCCCGCCGGTGATTGTGACTTCGGCGGGTGGGGAGATGGTCGACATGGTCAATGTCGGGGGACAAAGCAGTGACTCGCTGGAGAATGTACTGCCGAGGCTGTTCCCAAACCAGGGGTGCCGCTCCTCACAGGGAGAGATTTCGGTGAACCCCAGTGACCTCGCATCAAGTTTGATGTATCAGCAACAGCAGCAGCAACAACAGCAGCAGCAGCAGTTGCAGATGATGCAAGCTGCTCAGTCACTGCAAAAGCAGGAGGCATTACAACAGCAGATGACTCTTCAGGGTCATCAGATCAATCTCTTACAGCAGCAGCAGCAGCAGCAGCAACATCAGCAGCAGCAACAGGCACAGCGACGTGTCACATTTGAACAAATGGATTGTGATATGAGCAGGCAGCAAGGAGTACCCAGCGATGTGACCTTACCACAACAGTCCAACAGTCTCTTTCACCATCAGCAGCAGCAGTCGCACTCAGTCACAAACACAAGCGGAGTGCCATTCCACCCCGGCCAGCACCCGTCCAATCAACCGCATGAAACCCCAAATCTACCCCTCCCCAGGCTGAACGAGGGTCTCCAGTTCAACCTCGTCGGGGACCAGCAGCAGCCGGCTATGCCAGTGGTGCCGCCCCCTCAGCGCTTCCCTCTGCCCAATCTGGTGTCGCCGGGAACGTTCAACTACTTGCAAGGTATCAACCAGCAGCAGGAGATTGATGACACCGACTTGTTACAGGCTATGGAAGACTCCAGCACAATGCAGGAGGCACCGCAGGGAGAAGCAGTCGTGCAGGGTATGTACTGTACGTGTAAGCCCACATCTACCTAAGAGCAATATTGCTTTAATAACTCCCGGTAGTTCCCATCTGAATGTTGCTTAGGGTGTAATCGGTAAGATTTACTTCAACAGCAATTCCTACTTTGTACTGAAAGCTACATCAAATGATAACAGTCCCACACAATAACTGAGCATTAAATTACGCAGCCAACTGCTGGTACTCAGTAAAAGCTGCACTAGTTAATGCTTTTGTCGCTGTGGAGCAGTGCACCTTTTGTTTTTCTGGCAATATTTCAACATTCAGACCAATTCAGGAAAGTGTGCTTTGTGTTGACAGGTTAGTTTCTTAAAGTGTCTTATAAATACTGCATACCATAGACTTCTTTATTTGTTCACGGTTGAGCAAACCATTCACGTCAGCTTTTAATCCAGTGATAGGTCAGTGGATTCCCTTTAAATGGCTCCATTTAGAGTTAGGGTCATAGACTCGAGTACAATAATGTGAAAGTTGGAAACTTGAATATTGAATGTACATGTAATGCCTGTGCAGGATTTCTAGCATTTGGGCTGACCGATGGCAACATCAGGCAAAGTCGCAATCACCAACGGCACAACGCAATGCCTGGGGTTGATGCCCAAGTTCCAACGCAGCTGCTACGCAGAACAATTCGTGTCCCCTCAGGTGACCTGAGCCAGTTTTTCAACACCACCAACAACAACAGCGTTGATAGTGGCAGCAGCGGGATCAGGAAGCTGGACAGTGCCTCTGGTCAGTTGCAGCATATACCACCATTAATAGCTCAGGGGATGAACATGAGCTGCAGTATGACCTTGAGTGAGTCGGACATGCATGCTGCTGAGCCCTCCCCGATCAAACACGCCAAGTCCTTTTGCATGACCACCTGCAAAGGGCTAAATGAGATTGTGGCAGAGATCAGGCGGACTCTGGACTGCAAGCAGCCGGCTCTGATCTATGAGAACATCGAGAACCTCTTCCAACTACACCAGAACGGTGTGCGCATGGAGATGGAGGTGTGCCGGGTGCCCGGCTTGGCGCTGAATGGCCTGAAGCTGCGTCAGTTGGCTGGAGACGCCATGCAGTACAACGAACTCTGCCAGGATATCCTGGCGACAATGAATTTGTAACACACACTGTTAGTGCATCTCAAAGACAGGAGAAGCTCTTTTAAGAATTTGCTAGCACTTCGACGGCAGATCAGGTGTGACTTGGCAAGGTCAGTTTCCTTCTAGACCCTGATGACATGCTGTTTGCATCTGTGGAATGCGGACAGCCAGTCATCTGTCAAAAGTCATAGCCTCGCATCAGCTGCAAAACGTGGATCCACAAGTCAGCTGCGTGTTGACAAGCAAGTGACAGTGACAGCAGAGCCCACAAGCTAATCGTAGTCATTCATATGTAGTCATTGGCACGCCAGAGGATGTGTGGCCAAGTACATGGTAGATGGTCCAGGAGCTTCAACCGACGTATTTGGTTTCAAGCTTTATCCTGGATGAGTTTGTGTTCAGCACGGTGTTTAGATGATCAACAAAATTAGCTGTTCTGGCACTCAAAGCAAACACTAAGGTATCCTGTCCCTTATTATGTTTCTCAACAGATAGTTTCTGTTGATTCACTGAAGCTCATCTCCACAAATGGTGATTCGTTGATACATGTGTCAACATTTTCACACTCTATGCACAGCTTGTCACAGTTTTGAGTATGTTGCCAGTTCAGTAGCAGTAACCATACTGTGTGAGTCATTTCACTGGCCACCTTGCCAAACTGACAGGTTGATATACATGTATGAGTGGCTCTGTCAAGCATCTGACATGGTGGCATGCCAACTGGGTACACATCCATGCACCTGTTCATGAATTGCTGCTCCATTTGTATCGATGCATCTTGTTGATACTTATCTGTCAACAATGTGTGCTTGTAGAATGACTCGTGTAAAAAAAAAGGATGGTGGCTAGCGAGTGGACGATTGCAGCATTTATTTGAGCAGTGCTTCACGTGCACAGATCAACACTGTAAGTTGTGAGTAGTTGTACTGCCGGGTTTTGTTTGTGACTGGTTGAGTTTGCTGAAAGCCAGTCACCCTTGAAAACCAATCGGTTTTAATGGGCTACTGTTTTTTATATTCCACCGTGAAAGTGGATGGCTCTGGAATTGTGTCTGTTTTGTAGCAATTTGCTAAACAGATTTATTCTCATTCACAAAGTGTGCTTCAACCAACATTTTCATCTGACCGTAAAGAATGTATATTTTCTAAAAAGGTATTGTTTTCACGATTTTGAAATTTGCTTGTTTGCTGAACTACATGTATTTTTGGTTGATTTGGTATGAAAATTAACCACTTTTTATTTTGCTACTTTATTTTGGTGCGCACAATAATATTGAATTTGTAATTGGTAAACATCAACGATGTCATTGCCAAGACACTTGGCAATGCTCCACAGAAATTTGTCCAGAATTTGTCAGTTACATGTACGTGTGTTACAGACGTTGCATGTTTGTGTATTTCGGACAAAGTGCTTGTGTTTGTGGGAACAGAGGAGAGATTATCTTTGAGGAACTTCGTGAGGAAGAGAGTGGTGCATGAGAGATAAAGCACGTGTACCCAGGGTCCGTACATTACTCCAGCACAAAAACCCTAAACGGCCAAGTCAGGACACCAGACAGGACTTGTGCAGTGATGTCACACAGTGATAACTGCATGGTGCATCTAGGGGGCATTGTGGAAACACTGCCACTTCTGTTGCAGTCATAGGCCTGTTAGTCAGATCCCACGCCCCCCCAACACCTTCAGCTGCCCACTGATTTTATTATGCATGTACATGTAGTAGTAAAATGCGGTTCTACGGAATGCTCAGGCTCTGATGGACATTCATCCTAAATTGCCTTTGGCTGCTGGGCCAGCATCCACACTTCATGTACATGTATGTTTTTTAGGGGCAATGCCTTTGGAATATCGTATCCCTCACCCAACCAATTCCTGACAAATTTGCCCTTGCCTGTGGTCTTGATTATAGTAGCTCCTCCAACTTGCGGCTTTTCTCGAGGTTTACGCTGGCTTCGTGAATTCATTTCGGGAAGTTGGCTCACAGTGGCCTCTTGCTGCTGCTTTAGTAACAAATTTTATTTTCATTTCTCACATGGTCACACCAGGAATGTTTTAAAGCGATTAGGGAAACTAAGTTCCCTTCAATTTTGATGGGAAAACTGACCTGTGTCTTCGAATATTGAAATAACACTTCTCAAACATGATCAGTGATCAGATGGTTAAGCACGTTTTGAAACGTACCTCTTTGCTACGGCTCCCTGACTCCTGAATCCTTGAATGTGGATTAATCCAATGGCACGTTGAAGCTTCACAGATGGCCCAGTGCTCTGTATTGAAGGATGGCCTCATGCAGTATAACAAGGTGTTTCCCTCAACATTGCAAAGACTTGTTAATTGTGATGCTGGCTGTAATGAGCCTTTTGTGCATCGCATTTGAATAAAATCTGGTACACTGAGTTCTTTAAGGTCACGTGAACATAACAACTTGCATTCTCCATGCTAAAGACACTGTTGCTTTACCCCTTGGTTTGGGGCAAGGTTTTGCTTAGTTACATACACGTAAGACTAAGAGACGCCTTGCACCAATACACTGTTCTCAATGGATAAGAAGGGCACAAAGGAACCAGTCCATTTCAGAGATGGTGGTTGCTATGCAAAAGCTTGCCCCGAATCACAAGGTATAGCAACAGTGTCTTTAGTCTGGGGACTTCAAGTTGTTATGTCTATGTACTATCAGGAAACTCAGAGTACCATACGTTACTCAGATATAACTCGCAAAAGGCTTAAGTATAGCCCATCTTTCCTTGCTTGGAGACAAACTTTTAACAGGAGCCATAGCTTTCATTAATTTTTGTTGGAAAATTATTGTTGAATCCCTGGAAACCCTGGAATTAACGGTGATTGGCGTTATCTATTTGGACTCTTGGTTGTGGTGGGGATCTGAAGAATAAAAAAATAAAGTGACACACGCATATCTGCCCCAACACATTGATCTGCAACTTGATGACCAGCGCTCTTGTCATATTCAAGCCGTGTCCAGTCGAGTTGTCTTAATGGATGACTTGATGAAGGGTAGAGTTGTCCCATCTACATGTACATGTATTCAACACCCGCCTCACAGATGCACTACACATGCTTACCGGTAGGCCTACCCTGCGATATACAGGCATTATTGGCACAGTTGCTGTTGTGACTAGCATTGTAAATGACATCTTGTGCCCGACCTGAATTTTCCGTTTTTTTTTTTTTTTCAATATTTACTGACTGTGATAATTGTTATATTAATCAAGGCAAGTTTTTATCAAATTTCATGGCAGTTTTACAACTTTTATAGCATTATATAGAAATTGTGCAGGCTGAAATTGAATTGAATACCCATCCAATTAGGACAACACCCCCCCCCACCAAATCTGAGTCAGTGATTCTATTTTTGAGAGGCATGTTATCGGAAGCAGGGCTATTTTGGGACCAATTTTGGGGATCTTAAGGAAATGTTTTTGGGAAATGAAATTGGGAGCTAAATTCTGTACCTCCTGTTTCATGTATCCTCCAAGATGCCAAAAAAAAGCTTCAAAAAATTCAAAAATTTCAGCAGCTGAGGAATATTTTGATTTGGTTTATTCCTTGCACATTTTGCATGCTCTTTTATTGCTACAATTCATATTGCTATTTTCTGAGTGAAACTTGTTGGCTTTTGATGTTGCCCACAAGTCGCCATATATTCTTCAGAATTGAATTGAAATCAATTGACGCAGCAAGTCTGTGTTTGGGGTAAAGCAAGGGAGACTTGTATCATTGTGAAAATAAATTTACATGGTGCTATGTTTTCCTTTTTTGTTTCATTGTTAATGTGAAGAAAATATCTTTACTGCTGTGGTAAGAGAAGCGAGATGTTGGATGCACATACCATTGAATTTAGGTGTTTTTGTGTAGTTGTGGAGAAACTTTAGGCTTTGAAAGAGGATTCTATGTTTGGGGTACATGTACATATAAATGTGTACCTTACGCATTACCAAATTCACCACATCAAGGTTCCTGCATGTATGGAATACCAGTACAAATTTGGAACACTTTGTGAAACTAGAAAAGCAACACAGGACAATCCTTGAGATGCTATCTTGTGATAGTTAGGAGTCTGGCTCAAAAAAGGTAAAGAACAGTCACACATGCTCGGGATGCTTTGTTGGACGAGGAAAGGGCATACATGAAATGAATAGGCCTCAGGTTCTGTAATGGAAGGGAAATGTCCTGACTCGCATGACTTGAGAAACAGGGTATTTTGGCACACATCCAGTATTGTACAATGTCATTCTAGAGGGTAGTTCAGGCATTTGAAATCGCGAATGTTATGCTGTCTTTGATGGGGTTTTTATGAAGTGCTACAAGACTTGGCCCCTTCGAGAAGTCACGGTAGATTTGGGCTATGAGAGATATGTTGAGGCTTAGGTACTTGGCACTTGATGAAGACCTGTGAAAAGCTTCATTGGGTTTGCTTAGTACATGTATTATGGAGATTTCTGTGGAAACCTCTGTGGGGTAGTGTTGAGCTACGGCATCTTGGCCATGGATGTAGTAATGGAACTGGGATAAAATTTCAGAGGGGGCGGGGGCAACTTGGAAGGCATACATTTTGTCAAGATGACACTGAAAGCAAATGATCTTGCACGTGGGCTTGTGTACATTTCAAACTTTCATCAAAGGAGAGGGGTGTAAAACCCTCCCCTGCAACTGCATGGATTTTGATCAGACGTTTGGTTGAAGTTACGCTTGACATAAGTTTCGCATCGCAGTGTTGCAGTTGAGCCCATCACAAATCCCTTCACAAGTCCAGTGACAAGACCGGTCACCAGTATACATGTACATGTATAGGGCGAACGATGACAAAGGAATACTTGTCGCAGTTCACTTGATTAGCTTGTGACTTGATTTGAGGCTGGATGACGTAATTGTGATGGACATGCAGGGACTTGCGACGGACTCAGCTATTGTCCCGTGCTTGCCTGCCATTTTGTTTCGTAGTCCATTTGGGTGGTGTTTTTGTTCAGTCACGTTTGCAACGTATAAGCGGAAGCAATGCAACGAGGCATGGACGCACTGTGCACGTGCTGCTCTCGTGAAGGAGTGACGAACACTGTGCCAGGATTGACATTCTCTGCTCGCGTTTAAGTTTCTGTTTGATGTGAACCCAATCAGAAACTCTGTTACGGTATAAAATACCACACAATGAAATTTCAATCACTGAACTGGGAAAACCGTACATGTAAATAAACATGCAAGTCCAAATATGATTGTTAGCAATTTTGACGAAGCGTCAATGACACCAAAGATACAATTGTATGAAGCTGCTTTGTGTGTTTGTCAGTCCGCATGTTGGTGTGTATGTATGTGCGCACATTTTGTGATCAATAATACATGTTCTTGATGCACTGAAAGACTTGCTCTGTTCGCATAAACTTTGTTGCTTGATTTTTAAACAATCTGTGATGAACAAAAGAAAAATTGGGAGGTGGAACAGCACAAGTCTCGGTTTTATTGTATACATATAAATATTGGATTATTTATTATTGTCTACATCTAAATAAGTGAAAAAAGTGTTTGAATATTGTAATAATAATGTGAAATTGGTAAGTTATCAATTGCCTTGACTTTGAAGCTACAAATTTGACAAAAATTATATTTTAGTACTTGCAATGCGACCTCTCTTCATATCGATCAGCACCTTTATTTGTAAAGCCATGCTATTTATTCCCAAGTTTTTATAACATCGAAGAATGTTGACAATCATGTACTGGTAGAGATCCTTTTCAAATATCAGACTGAACTTCCTATTTTTATAAGTCACACTTTTGTCTCGTGCACTGCATTTTAAGGTATCGCCATACACGTTACGGACGTGAAAATGTTCAATTTGACGCAAAGGAAAGCTGAAACCTGTTTGTCGCATGGAAGAGGCTTCGTCAATTTTTGGACCTCTTTCACAGAATCAATCAATTTTAAGACTGTAAAACAGCACAAGTGGTATACCCCAGTCAGTGCCGAGATGTAATGAATGCCAAAAGAAATACTTTGTCATTATTTGCAAAATGTGTTTTAAAACTGGTTTTTAATGAATTCTACCTTTTTATGATCTTAACTTCAACATAAGTTGTGAGGAAACTATTAATTCTTATGCTAATGTTGATTTCCGTTTGAATATACAGTAGGGATTATACCGGTAGAGCCATTCGAAAAAAATTCTGAATGAATTCTGAGGTATTGTAGACTTGCCATTAAAACTGGTATTATAAATTAACACAGGTACCACATTTTTATGATGAATTTAGGAATCTAGGAACCCATGAATTTCTGTTGGGCTACATAGTATGCTTTGGACGGCAATCAACGAGCTTGACTGTTGAATCGATGGAGGTACCACAGGGCCACCGGGGAAATATTTCATAGTCATAGATACATGTATCTTTCATGTCCATCTCCAAATCTCTTTTTCTTGAATTTTTGTTTCTGTCTTGTGTGGGTGTTTTCATGATTTCATGAAAAAAAAATTCCAAGTGCTTCAAAAATCACTTTGTGGTATTGTGACATTTCTGTCGTGAATGAGGATTTAATTTCAGGGCCCACCATGGGACAGTACATGTAGTTTGCCCAAAATGATGATACAAAAACGTGCGGTCAAAAATAGCTCCTGGTCCGGGCACCTTGTACATGTATGTGTATATTGCGAAGCATTCAACACAGACACAAATGGCTGAACACAAGTTATTGTCTTTGACATTATTTGGTTAACTTTTACCAATCACTGCACTGCTCAGTGTATTCCTGTGATTGCATCAAGTTGAGCTGGTCATGTGACATACCCCATATTTTTTATTGTATTTGTAATATTTTTGTCATGTATCTGGGAAGTCTCCTGTTTGTATCGATACAACCTCGTCATTGTAACTCGTCAATGTGTCGGTACCGCAGAAAAATGGTCAAACAATTTTTTTGTGACTAGATCCGACAAAATGAGTCTTACATGCAATTTTCTTCAATTTTGTTGTCATTTTGCATTAGAAAGGGCAAAGCAGCACTTCATTTTCATGCACTTTATCACACAGATCCTCATCCCGACGTATATGCGTATTATTGTGCATGGGAGTGGAAAACGACAATAGTTCTGATTGATATCCATTGTGAAAGGTACTGTTTAAAGCTGTACGGCGTATCAAAAAGCTATGGCAGCCAAGGATTTGCTGGGTTAAGTCAGGTGAAATTCACTGACAAGTTTTGGAAGGCTTGCATGTGAAGTCAGCAGCAAGTGCAGCTCTGATTCTGTTGACAGACGAGGGTGCACTCTCCAGAGCTTTGATTTACCCCAGTTTTGCATTACAGCAGATTGGCTGATTCATTTGTTCTATTGGGCAGAAATGGGAATCGTATCTCAAAAATCACTGAACACTTTTTGATGCCCACATTTTCTTAAACTGGAAGTCACCTTTTTGTCATCTGTTGATCA